AACCGAATTTGGCAACGTGGTGGCTTAATAAGATAACATAATTCTCCACGGTAAAAAGAATCTCAGACTCAACTGTTCCCACCAGATGTATAAATGTTTGGACAGTTTGCCGATAACAAGTGAGAACCGCACGAATGCTGTGTACACGCTTTTTGTTCCTAACCGTTACTTACTCATCTTTTATAGCTCTGAGCGCTCTCCAATATGTAATGGTATTTCTTAATTTCTCTTTAGGATTCGGGGCTCAATTTTGTAGGAACTTAGATACACTGGTCGATCCTTTATGTTGTATAATAGTCTACAGTATTACTTTCATAGTGATGGCGTGTCACAGTTGTTGGTTTATCATTTTCCCTGATACGCAATATTTCCAAAGTTACATAACTTGAACTCAAACTACACGACTGCCACTATAATGTATTAAACCGGAAACACCACTTTTTTTCGCTATCGCCTGAAGACCGGGTTGCGTTAACTTTATAATTTTTGTGTACTAGGTGTTTTGATTAGTTTCTCTCCCAAGCAGCAGTTATTTTAGCAAGTTCTGGGAATTTTCTTGTATATATTGATGTATTACCTATGTAAGAATTTTCTAAAATGTATTGTATCATTTTTGTTATGAAATACTTACGTATTTTTAGCATCGATCACAGTAGTAGAACGTTCTAGACCAGTGGTTCTCAACCTTGTTTGCCCCATGCACCATATGTCAGAATGTCATTCCACCCTCCTTTCCAAGATTGTCTGCCTCAAAAAGTGCATTCCAAATAATATGCATATAATACTGAAAATCCTTTATTTTTTCCATATTAGTACATATACATTTACAATTTTACATGGATTATTTTTATAGTGGAGTTTTACAAATTAAATGCCAATTGAAAATGTTGATGGATTTATAAAACTTGAATAAAAGTAAAATAGTTTTTTTATATTTATAATGAATTACTTAACAGACCAAACTGAAGCATAATGCAATAAACAAAAAGTTCAATAGAATACCAGGATATTGTAAATTTATAATTAATTTTATTCAGATGAAGATTACAGTCAATGAGAAACCTGTGATTGTTTTTTCTTCGCCAATTCTGGGATACGCGGAGGAGTGCTTGAAAGGGCACAACGCAGGTCATTTTCTACCTCTAATCTACTACGTTGCTTCGTTTTAATTTGCAACAGAGTTTAAAAGTCTGACTCACAAAGATATGTCGACACAAACGGAAGCAATGCACGGATAGCTCTTTCTGCCACTTTTGGGTAGGAATCGCACATCAAGGGCCAAAATTCTGTGATTGATTTCTCATCGAACATATCTCTTGCTCCCGAATCAGTTTCCCCCTCCCCCCCTGAAAACCTGAATTCCTCCCCTGGGGGGAATTCCCCCCTGGTTGAGAACCCCTGTTCTAGAACTTCCCAGACTATCTCGCGTTCCGACCTGAAGCGCCTGGATGGTGCTAGGATGTTCTCTAGGTATCGTCTGTCATCAGGCATCGTGTTTAATCAGCCATTTCATGTAATGACTGGTCAACTTGTGTAATGTAAATAATTTTAATCTAATTTAACCTAACAAAACCAATTGTATACTATGTTTATCAAGCCCTAGCCTACCATAACTTAACTGAACATTAGATTAGTTAAGTTAGTCGTGGTTAGGTTAGAATAGGTTAGGTTAGAACTTAAACTAACCAAAACTGGTTTTGGCTAACCTAACGAATCAATGTTAGGTTAAGTTAGGCGAGGATAGTTTAGGTAAGGATAGGATAAACTAGGTTTGGATAGGTTATAATTAGATTAAGTTAGTTTACATTACACAATATGACTAGTCATTTACTGTATATACTGCCCAAAGTGTGAAGTACACGCCTGGAGACAGCTAAAAAATAATTGTAGTGCAAGTATTGTGTTGTGATCAATATAAAGTGAAAAGACTCAGTAATTGTACGCTGGTATATTGGAAATGAGAAGCCCGATGGCAAAGACATACTCTGTGAACATTGTTGTGGAGATTTAGTGATTGTTAGAGACTACAGTTAACAAGTATGTTTCTGTGACCTGGTGGAAATCTAGTGGTAAGTCGACACTTGTGATTTATCTCGTGGTGGGACGCTGGTAAGAGCGAAAGGGGTTTATAACATTATGGTAAATGAGTTGTGTAACTTGTACTGTCGTAAATATTCTGATGTGTTCTTAATTTACCGGTAAAATGAAGACACTGAAAGAGAAAATATATAAGTATTAACATTTATTTGTTGTATTAGTATAACTTTGTAATAAAACAACAGTAGCGATCATTTTAATCCACTTATTTGTATATATAACAATTCATTTTAATCCAATAGTCTGATTTCGGGGAAATTTTGAGGAACAAGAAAAAACAGCGAGATTCCCTGACCCAGACCAAACTGTTCCTTTACCCAAACTTCACATTTGTTGCAATAATATATCAAGTCAATAAAATAGTCATTATTTGATCAACTTCTAATACGTGTTACTGGTGTATATAGCACAAACAATATATCTGTTTATATTTAGATTACGTTATAACGGTTTCGAGACAAAACTAACCAGAAGTGGTAACTGTCAAATGTAAACGATGTAAACATTGGACCAAACAATCAGCTGCCACTTCTGGTTAGTTACCCAGCCAACTCAGATTGTCAACATGGCTGCTATCATGCTCAGTTTTGGTTAAGTTAGGTTAGGCTAGGTTAGAGTTAGGCCGTTTTGGTCACAGGGTGGGGCCGCTTTGGTCACAGGGTGGGTCCGTTTTGGTTAGAGTGGGGCCGTTCTGGTTTGGGCCGTTTTCGACTGGGGCCGTTTTCTCCTGCTACCCGTTATAACTGCTTCATACTAATACAATCAGAAATTGTTGATCTTTTATTCTATATTAAACAATGTTACATAAATATAGCCCAGGAAACATATCAATAAATCTGTAATTAAAAGGAACATATGTTTTCAGAGCACTACAGACAACACACAATGAAATAATAAGAGACAAAATAAGATGTTCAATTGTTCATTATTTTCTTCTTTCAAAATTAACACAAATAATTGTTACATAAATCGGTGATACTTGTGTTAAAATTTATTGACCCAACAAAAATCTTTAGTAACTCGTAATATAAAAACAATGTAACTTGCTACGATGTTTCAATTAAAAGTCAACAGCATTTTGGCCTTAATTTCTGCGCCATAGTAGTAATAAAGTCGTTTGATGTATCTTTCTGTATCTGATTAGTTAATTTCCCACTTAAACGGGGAAAATAACGCATCTTCTTTCAATACAGTCTCATTCCATAGAAGCTAACTGTATGTATTCATTTCTATACATTAGATTTGCACTTAAATATCCAGTTAGGGAGAAAAATGATGCACCGACCTCACCCAGGGTCTCGTGCTCGCAAATTTACCTGGCAACACTTGAAGGAAGGAAGGCTGTATGTAAAGGAGATTGTGATTGGTGGATTTATTTTCGGCTGTATCGCTGTCAGGATAAATGTTAAACAATCCAAAAGTAGCATTTTTACAATAATAAATTATTCACGTGAGGTCCCTCATAACACCATCTGTGAGGGAGTTACTACATCACGTGGTCCCTCATAACACCATCTGTGAGGGAGTTACTACATCACGTGGTCCCTCATAACACCATCTGTGAGGGAGTTACTACATTACGTGGTTCCTCATAACACCATCTGTGAGGGAGTTACTACACCACGTGGTCCCTCATAACACCATCTGTGAGGGAGTTACTACACCACGTGGTCCCTCATAACACCATCTGTGAGGGAACTACTACACCACGTGAGGTCCCTCATAACACCATCTGTGAGGGAATTACTACACCACGTGGTCCCTCATAACACCATCTGTGAGGGAGTTACTACATTACGTGGTCCCTCATAATACCATCTGTGAGGGAATTACTACACTACGTGAGGTCCCTCATAACACCATCTGTGAGGGAATTACTACACCACGTGGTCCCTCATAACACCATCTGTGAGGGAGTTACTACACCACGTGAGGTCCCTCATAACACCATCTGTGAGGGAATTACTACACCACGTGGTCCCTCATAACACCATCTGTGAGGGAATTACTACACCACGTGAGGTCCCTCATAACACCATCTGAGGGAACTACTACACCACGTGAGGTTCCTCCTAACACCATCTGTGAGGGAGTTACTACACTACGTGTTTGCTGTTCAACACCTACATTAATCTGTATGTTCACTGTATGTTCCTTCACCTTTCTCTAATGAAGGCTTTTGTTAAACCACCAATGTATGTAATAAGTCATTTATGCCCAATGTATATTTTTAGCCTTCGGGCTGCAGAACTTTTTCAATAAACCGTCAATTATTATTATCAGATACAATGTCGTGACTGACAAGTGAGTCTACTACAGCGTCTTCTCTCTAACTTACGTCAAGATATATTATGTAATGCTCACATTGTAAAGACAATAAAATTCCTTCATGAAACACTCAATTAGATGTGGAACATACTGTATATTCTTGAAATTTGATGTGAGAATCTCGTGGCAGCCCTGGTTGTAGCTGCGGTGCCAATTCATTGATATAATTTCTTCTTTATTTAAGCAAATATACGAATATTTGGAAACTTGTCATGATCTTAAATAACGATGAATAGTTTATTATTGTAAAAATGCTACTTTTGGATTGCTTAATATTTATCCTGACAGCGATACAGCCGAAAATAAATTCACCAATCACAATCACCTTTACCTACAGCCTTCCTTCCTTCAAGTATTGCCAGGTAAAATTGCGAGCACAAGACCCTGGGTGGGGTCGGTGCATATTTGGCTGACTGTACCTTAAAAGGGTCCGAGCACTGGTCTCAGGCTGTAGGAAGAGTCAATATGTAAACTAATATGCAATGTTTTAGCCTCCTTGCGGCTTCTGCTCCACCCGCCAATGAGAGTGCACGGTTTGGCGAGTGACATTTGTTTAGAACAGATGGCGCGGCGAAACTGGCGAGAAGACGAGCTGACAGACGTAGCTCAGAAACCGGAGAGAGCGGGTGTGTGTGTGTAGTGCTGCGCCTGCCTAAAAGTTGACTGACTCCATGTTGAAGTTCTTCCTGTAGTGCTACAAAGTTTAGCGACATACAGTAGATACGATTTTGTTGTAATGTAAATTATACTTTGCAAGTGACGGAGTAGAATTAGCGATTGTGGGTAAACAATAACGAGGAAAAAATAAAAAAACTTTAGGTAATTTACATAGTGAACTGAAAAGGCACGAGAAAAACGTAAACAAAAAAGGTTGTAATTGAAACAGCAATCATATAAATTGTAATCGTGACGAGTGTAGACGCTGTGAAACAATCCCTTCCTGGCTGCTTGTGTGGACTCAATCAACCAACCCTTCATGGTATTAGCCAGTCAGCTACTTTGTTTACACGCCTGTGGACCCCAGTTTCCAGACATAACATCAAACTTGTTGTAGTGATTTGTGATTAAACTTAACCTTAATGAACCTAAAGTATCCTTAGAAATGGACAATTGGATGTAGACGAATTGAGATGGATAACAATGATAGAATGACCTAAGTTATAAATTCTCCCACGATTCTCTGAAAAATTGTGACTAAATATAAAATTAAAATACAAGAAATAATCAGGTAGTGAAGATGTGTGTGACTTGTACTGTGGAGAATTGCGAAAGAAAGTTTGCTGTTTTGTGTTAAGAAAATTCAAGTTGTTAAGTGGAATTCTGTACAAAACTTAGTGGCAGAACGATTATGACATACAGACCTTTACCGCGTGAAAAAGGGTCATGTTGGTATCTCGTCAATTGAACCAATAAACCTGAAACAAGAGGCGAGGATAATATAAATGTAATAATAATACTTGCATTGTAAAGTAAATGAAGCATTTTATACCCCGATGTTGCGATGTTACCCACCAGACACTAGATATAAGAACGACTTTAATTCAGAAACTGTGCATTGTAAACTTAGATCGAAGACTAACCACTTGGTGTTATTTATAAAACTACAATAGAAGGGAAAACATAGATTAAAATTACTTAAAAAAAAAATCTAGTAGTGATTTAGAACCAAATAAAGTGTAAGGAATAATTGAATAAATGCAGTATGTAGACTTTCGAAGTAATATGACGGGCGACAGTGAGTCATGATAACTAAGACAAACATTATCCCCGTGACCAATAAGTAAAGTAACTACAGTACATGACAAAAGTATGTGAAACGATAATACTCCGAAGACAATCCAACAGAGCATGACTATAAAGCATGTGATTCAACTTAATTACTAAGAATAAATCCTCGATCCCAAATTTAGAATATTAGTTACGAACGTTATACTCACTGCTGCTAGTAAACGACGGGACACTACCTCAGCGAAGATGGATCCAAAGGAGTGGTTCAACCTTCGTCAGATCTACCGCGCCAGACTGTCGGCCGCCTCCTCCAAGATGGATTCGAAGATCACCCTCGCATGCTTAAAACAAGGTATGTACTGGTGTTTGTAGGTTAGGTTAGGTTAGTGGACTCATTGTAGGATTGGTGTCTATTGGGAGTGTTAACAAGGATGATTAGATTCTATTGTGATTGTAACTCATTAAGGCTGGGGGCACATTCTTATTGTAACTTGCTAGGAAGGAGTCTGATCATTGACCACCGTACTGATGCTGCTGATGTTAGTGGAAATTGTAATTGTTGTGTTATAAGTATTGTATTGTGTTCCTCAGGTTATGTTGATTATGTCACCAAGTAAATGTGGGTGGTGGTGTTGAGAGCTGTATGAGATGATTCTTAATGCTTATATTTAATTTGCTGAGGGTGAGACTTACGTACGTGTTTTGGTAATATCACGAGCAAGAAATGAATAGTATCATCAGTAACATAACTACCTTCATCTTACCCAACTAAATAAGGGTGTAGTTTGATCGTGTTGTAATATTAAACAACGCCTAAAATAATAATGAGTAAATTTTACCCTATTTGAAATATTTTCGTTAAGTTATAGCGAAAACAAAAACTGTTCCATATTTGAGACAACCGTAGTTAAGTGTTACGGCTTAACCCGACGATCATCCTTGACATCAACAAGTGTCTTACTACTAACGCTGGGAAAAGTGTGAAGCAAACTGTTCCCTGTCTTTATCTTCATCATGGTAAACCGACACGATCTCCCACGCAATATTTATTCTTGTAAATGTGTAAAATTATCTTAAACTTTTCTTACGGAGTCGTCTCAGTTGTGCTAAGAGCCCTCTTGCTGTTTGCCCGGGGGGGACAGTGTGGTTACAGCGCATTGCATTTAGCTTACTGTACTGTGGTGGATTATCCATTAAGGGAATGCCCAGGGTTGCACTATTTTGTATTTGTTGTGAGACCCGAGTCCTGGTACCACACTCATGAGACTTAGGAGGATGAACATAGAAACTAGGTTCATTATATTCATATATTCAAACAGACATCAAACACATCAACAATGTCAATCTTTTACTGGATAGGTCAGCAGTTCCCCAGGGCCCAGATTCACTCACGGGTTACCAACATCATAGTGCTTAAGGAGTTCATATCTCCAGTGATGGTGTGATTCCCTTAAGATTTATGAAGTCCACAGCTCGATTTAAATGGCTGACTTTTCCACGTAACTTATTGTGACTCGGGAGGTCTCGTAAGCTTCTGCAAGGCGGAAGTAAGACAGTTTTCTCTACTATAGAACCCGTATCAAAACACACACAGATGCTAGACGTACTTTAAGCGTCACTAGTGAAGATGGAACTAATGACTGGATAATAATGGAGGACAGTGGTTAGCCTGTGACCTAAACAACTAGGGGTGGTAAAAACGCTTAATTTGTCTTTCCTTGATAATTGTGGTAGTTTTTGGCCGTAAACCACTTATCCATTACCTCACTAACTGAAGGCTAAAGGGAGATAAGAGTTTCCAAATTCGCCATTAGCAAAGCTCCTATATAGACCACTGTTGGCACATGTAAATGAGTCATGGGTACTTCTTGTATACTTGGCAGCATAGCTTGTTATAACACTATGTTATATATAAACTCAAAGTAGACAATAACTACTAAATATTTAAATCTTATGTAATACAAGAAGATTCAACAAACCTATGCCGAAGCCATCTACTTATTAATGCCCAGCTCACCATGTGTGATGCGTCAAGTTCTTAGATCTCTCCCCTTCCTCACCTGAACACCCAAAACTACACCAACACATTAAACATCGAAAACAAGAATATTTATTTTTCATGCAACATTTTAGTTTATATTTTTATAGATGTTATAAAAAATAAAAAGTTGCTAAAACTTCATTGAGTTTGTTGTTATAAGTTTTTATGTGTTGGGGATGTGTGATGCTGTGTTGGGGATGTGCGGTGCTGTGTTGGGGATGTGTGATGCTGTGTTGGGGATATGTGGTGCTGCGTTGGGGATGTGTGGTGCTGTGTTGGGGATGTGTGATGCTGTGTTGGGGATGTGTGATGCTGTGTTGGGGATGTGTGGTGCTGTGTTGGGGATGTGTGGTGCTGTGTTGGGGTGTGTGGTGTGTGTGAGGATGTGTGATGCTGTGTTGGGGATGTGTGATGCTGTGTTGGGGATGTGTGGTGCTGTGTTGGGGATGTGTGATGCTGTGTTGGGGATGTGTGATGCTGTGTTGGGGATGCTGTGTTGGGGATGTGTGCTGTGCTGTGTGATGGGGATGTGTGGTGCTGTGATGGGGATGTGATGCTGTGTTGGGGATGTGTGGTGCTGTGATGGGGATGTGTGGTGCTGTGTTGGGGATGTGTGATGCTGTGTTGGGGATGTGTGATGCTGTGTTGGGGATGTGTGGTGCTGTGATGGGGATGTGTGGTGCTGTGTTGGGGATGTGTGATGCTGTGATGGGGATAGGTGATGCTGTGTTGGGGATGCTGTGATGCTGTGTTGGGGATGTGCAATGCTGTGTTGGGGATGCTGTGATGCTGTGTTGGGATGTGTGGTGCTGTGTTGGGGATGTGGTGCTGTGTTGGGGATGTGTGATGCTGTGTTGGGGATGTGTGATGCTGTGTTGGGGATGTGTGGTGCTGTGTTGGGGATGTGTGATGCTGTGTTGGGGATGTGTGATGCTGTGTTGGGGATGTGTGATGCTGTGTTGGGGATGTGTGGTGCTGTGTTGGGGATGTGTGGTGATGTGTTGAGGAAGTGTGGTGATGTGTTGAGGAAGTGTGGTGATGTGTTAAATGTATCTCCTTGCTCTGTTAGAGAGCTGTATCACCACCAATATTTATCACCAACCTGTCACCAGTGTGTCACCAATCTGTGTCACTGGAGGGCTGGACAAGCTGTGTGGTGCCCAAGGGGGAGGGGAGGGGAGGGGGGGGGGGCAGCTTGTCTTACCGGGAATTATCTTGACTTATCTGGAATTGAAAGTGTTCGTAAGTGTTGGAGGAAACTGTTGGAGTGTGTTGGAGGAAAGTGTTGAGAGGAAAGTGCTGGTGGCAAGTATTGGAGGAAAGTGCTGGAGTGTATTGGTGGAGAGATTTGGAGGAAAATGTTGGAGGGTGTTGGTGGAAAGTGTTGAGAGGAGTGTTGGAGGAAACTGATGGAGTGTATTGGTGGTTGGAGTGTTGGAGGAGTGTGTTGGTGGAGAGTTTTGAAAGGAAAGTGTTGGAGTGTGTTGGTGGTTGGAGTGTTGGAGGTGCTATATTAGAATGAGTGGTCCTATGTTGGGGATGTGTGGTGCTGTGTTGGGGATGTGTGATGCTGTGTTGGGGATGTGTGATGCTGTTGGGGATGTGTGATGCTGTTGGGGATGTGTGATGCTGTGTTGCTGATGTGTGATTGCTGTGTTGGGGATGTGTGGTGCTGTGTTGGGGATGTGTGGTGCTGTGTTGGGGATGTGTGGTGATGCTGTGGTGGGGATGTGTGGTGCTGTGTTGGGGATGTGTGGTGATGCTGTGGTGGGGATGTGTGGTGCTGTGTTGGGGATGTGTGGTGATGCTGTGGTGGGGATGTGTGGTGCTGTGTTGGGGATGTGTGATGCTGTATTGGGGATGTGTGGTGCTGTATTGGAATGTGTGACGCCTATGCTGGGGAAAAAAGCATAACTTATTATTCTCAATTTTGACTTGGATACATAGTCTGTATCTGCGTTGAGTAAAGTTTAAGTCATAATTAGTTTAGATATTAAAATAAACCTTTCCATTTGTCTAGTATATTGGTCACGTCACATGAAACACTTAATAGCTCAATTATTTCATCAGTGTCAACCAGGTAATGTTTCAGTAGAGATAGCAGCGTCAGAGCAAACAGTGAACTTGGTGTTTCCTATCAGTGTCTGTGGTACTTTAACGGAGGCCGAATCCCCACTTCAAGGTCTTGGAGTCTCCTTTTGTAGTTTTAACCCACAGCTGAGGGTGAGAGGATGCGTCTACTTACGGATTTAGTTTTCGTTTTCCCTCAAAAATAAAAGGTGTAAGAGAGAGGCAGACTCAAATGTTTAAAATATTCCTTAATGACCATCACTTTGTTCTCAATCCTTCGTTAATTATTTTCCAGTTGTCGATGTTTTCTGCAACAAGATTTCTCCTTTATCGTTCTCACAGTATTACTATAGTAAACTTTCAACGTTCCTTCTGTCTACACTTTACAGTTCCCTCATCTTTCTGAGGCATTTGGTTTAAACGGAACTTCTTACTTGCGTGACTGTCTGTCTGTAGCTCTTGTTATTTATGCATATCTTGAAGTTATAATTTATGTTATCAGTCACACCGCTGAAATTACGTGAAGCAGGAGATTACTTCTCAATATATATTTAAAAACAAAAGCTCTGTGTTGATCTTTATGATGTAAGACTATGGCAGCGGTTTTTAAGAGTTTCAGTGTCCAGGTTCTTTCTGGGAATATATAAGGTTCATATAAGTGGCTTTATGCATCTCGGTAAACAGGTGGACCTCATGAGACAGACGTTAGGACGGAATGAATCGACCTGTTGTCTGTGATCTCTGTAGAAATGTCGCCCTAGAATATAACTAATGGGGTTGTTTCAATACTCCCCCTCCTCTCTCTCTTTCTCTCTCTCTCTCTTAGCCTGCACGGGTCTCCCCCCTCCCACCCTCTCCCCCCTGGAAGTTTGCACACACCAGGAATATTCACAGAGTTGAAATTCCCTTCTCCCCCTTCCTCCCTTCTCCCCCTTCCTCCCTCCCTCTCCCCGCTTACTCACCCTACCTGAACACTGCTCACACTCTCAGCACTTCTGTTATGCACTGAAAGCAGATGTCGATGTCAGTTACTGTCGGTAGCAGATGGCTCTTCCTTACTCTCTGTATCCCTTTATCAATATTTCTCTCTAACTCTCTCGTTCTCACTCTTTATCTGTTTAAATATCCATGTTTTTTTCTCTCTCTATGTCTTCCTCTATTTATCATCTATCTGTCTGTCTCTCTCCATGAAGCAATGTTTTGATGCTTTGATAAGAATTTACTCTGTCAGGTGTTGAGTG